CTACCACCAGCAAATCGTTTGCAAGAGAATGATTAAAAGCTTCCCCTGGCCCTCTCCATCGGTGTCATTACTCTCCGGGGTTGGCGGATGGGGAAAGGAATTTTATGTTTGTATATGAGTGTGTGTGTGTGTGTGATTTCTTGAACTAGGTAATCATTTTGGGGGTTGGGAAAAGGGCAAAGGGAAAAGGAATCCAAGAGAATTGAACTCAACCGCTCCTAATATCCCATCTATTGAAGCATTGGTCCGTGACCCTCTGCCCAATAGCTATACTGGCCCGGGGTTACCTTTTAACTTTGTGTCTAGTTTGAGATAATTTCTACGACACTTGTAAAACATGCAGTGTCTTTTTTTTTTTTTTACAAGGATAATGATTAAGAAGTTGTGAGTTAATTGTTAGTAACTGGTCTTCAGACTGGTGAATATTTCACCTCTCAAATGAGACGTACGACCATCAAATCGCATTTTAGTGGAGTTCACGATGGTGGTAGAGTTCTAAATTCCGACTACCATCTTACCCACGTGCTAAGGCTTGGGGCGAACTATTGAGCCACAAGACCCGATTCGTAGTGTCTGTTTATTTTGTTGTTAAAGGTATAATGTATTTATTTTTTAGGATAAATATATAATTTGATCCCTCAATTATTATACAGATCTTTAATTTGGTTTTTAAATTAAAAAAACCTAGATTTGGTCTTTATTACTTATTAATTTGATCCAAAGTTAATTTTTGTGTACAAAAATAAATAACGTATCTTATTATTAATGTAATACATAATAATTAAGTAATAATTTTTTACAATTACGTAATGGATGCACAAGTTATTTTTTAATAAAATGTTTAATTTGGGGTCAAATTAGTTAATAATAAAAATTAAATTAAGAGTCTGTACAATAATTAAAAAATTAAGTTAAAGACTTGTTTAATTTAAAGATCAAATCACTGTAAAATAATTAAGAGACTAGATTAAAGATTTGTCCTATTTTTTATAGAAAGGGTATACTACTGAAAAAAAAATAAAAAAAGCTTGTTTCTTGTTGGTCTAGACAAAATAAAGTACGAAGACTTAGACAAGTACTCCTCATCTCATCCTGTGTCGGCGGAGAAGCTGGTTTTCTGGTTTGATGATGACCGAAGTACCATAATCATTTTGGCCTTGCTACATCCTACATCTGACTCTGTCCTCCAAAATCTTTCTCGGGCTTTCGTAAAATTCTTTGTGTCGGTGGTAGTGGTACTGTTTCTTTTCTTTACAGAGTTACCACCAACAGCAGCCTAAATGTAAGTTGCAATATCCCCGCACCGGGTACAAGTTACAAACAGAAACGGGTCATGTCAAACTCATACCGTCTAAAATGATATGCACAAAACATCGTCACACATAATATCATAATAATGCAGCAATTAATAGAATACTTTTTTTGATGGACAATTAATACAATACTAGGTGGGGAGATTAGGAATGATTATCTATTAATTGTTAAGGATATTTTATTTAAAATGTGTGGTTTCGAATCCCATCTCTTTTAGGATTATTAAGTAATTATCAATTAGTTGTTAAGAGTATCTTATTTAAGATGTGGGGTTTCGAATTTTATTATTTTCAATCTCTTTCGCTTAGTTCTCCATGTACTAAAAACAAAAAAAAAATACTTGGTGGTGGGGGTGATGGGTGGGCAGTGGAGTTTGATTGGGCAATGGCAGCGAGGTGTGGCCTGGATTGAATTCTAATTCCTATGGTCCAAAATGATGGTTGGGAGCATGCACCAAAGACTTTCTACCCATGATTCCTTTGGTTTTGACTTTTGAATACCTTGAGATTGTCTCTAGTGGTATTCACATTTCTGCTCAGTGGAGCCAAGCATTTTAGGGTGCTGGTATGATATCTGGCTTTCTATGCTTCTTCTATAGTTTGGCTGTTTTTAGCTAATTAAGAATTTATCTATGTATCTAGTCTTTGACTCGACATTTGGTAATTGACACTGTGCAATAAGATGAGATTGAATGTATTGGTTACTCTCTTTTTAAGACATAGATTTCATAATTCATATGATTACCTACGGAATAAATACCATTCAAATTATTAAGGATACATAAGACCCGATTCATAAGTTTGGCACATCTTCTTTTTTTTTTTCCAAAATTTTGTCACCTTTTAATCAATAATTAATGCATGTGTGTCAAGATCCCAAATATAGAAGCAACAAACGGCTAAATCCAAGATTATCAAGGTGTTTGGATACACTACGAAATCTTGAGTTTCAAA